AATGTAGAAAAAAGTACGAAAAGATTGTAGCTGCTGTGGGAATCGAACCCACGTCTTCTGCATTCGCGGCCCCTGACGCTCTAGCCACTGAGCTAAACGGCTGATAGCCCACTCATTTTAAGTGCTTTATGTCGTAAGTTACTGTAAAGCACCCGTAATAGCTGACACGTAGTTTAATGCGTGTGTATTCACTTAAAATTATCTTATGTAATGCCAAATACCAGTCTGTACCACCCGGAAGCCATGCCGTGATCAATATTTAGCTAAACCAACTTATACAAATTCAAATATCTTTACTTAATATTAGAAAAGCAAGAAGCATTACACTACTTAATATTGACTAGCTGTTATCCTCCACCCGCGCGGCCAAAGGGAATTAACAATGAGTTTTTTATTATAAACCAGAATATCACGCAGATGGCTGAATTTTTTCCTATTTAGTTAACACATATCATTACCTATATTTTAGACAATTGACACAATACTTTTATATATTATAGCCCATGTGTTATTCTGATGTATAAGCTATATTATTGTAAAGTTTCGTTAAAATCCATTCAGTAGTATTTGCGTGAAAGTGTAGCCTCCCCACCTGGCTACTCGAGTGGGAGTTAGGTATTGTGGTTCGCTCCGGCTGACTCAATCCGACTAATCGAGACCACAGAGTGAGGCTCGGTGACCCCGTCACGGGGACAGACAAAATTTATATTAAATTGGCGCCAGCCCGCCCCGTGCATGACAAAATAATGCTTATTCTAAGAGATTGACTTAGTAAATATGAAAAAATATACTCTTAAAAAGTTTTAGAATTTATTCGTACAAGATATAGGATATAAATGGAACATGGATAATGTTTATAGCTAAATATATCCAGCCTTGCCTCCCTGGTTTCCAAATAAGGGTGAAGACCTCAGCAATCCTCACATGCTTCCAAGGGGCATACAGTTAGTCCGCGCCGTCAAGTTACACGTGGACAGCAGAACCTCAGATACTTAATATGTATGCAGTTGCATACAAGGCGAACAAGTGGTTTGATATCAAGCAATCAGATCCAAGATAAAAACAGCAGAAATAGAAGTGCAGATCGGAGAAAAACAGATAAAATAAAATAAAAAATAAAAACCCCCTAACAAAATACGAATTGTTAGCAAACGAATAATGGATCGAAAGCAGTCATATCCTAAAAATATATAGAACAAAGAAACTAACCAACGACGTTGGTTTTTTTTATGCAAAATACTAAGGTCAAGAAGCCATATACAAGGAGGATGTATAAGGATGTGGCCTAGGATGCCACATACTCCTTCCTTTCATGCTCCTACTATGCAGAGGCGTCGCCGCCAGGCCTTCCAAAAATACAATGAAATATATAAAATTACTCTTTGAAGACAATCCTTCTGAACGAGCAGATTCTGGGCTGGGTCTACATCATAGAGTAACTTATTATAAGGGTAACATCATAGAGTAACTTATTATAGGGGTATTGTGAGTATTGGTCTACATTTTTCTAAGTACTTAGACTGTCATATAATTGCTGTTCGAAAATTATTTTCATTTTAATAGTGAATTGTGTGTGTTCTGGTGCTTTTTGAAGTGTTCGTAAAGATAAGTGGAAACAAAATTAACATGGCAAAGTGTTACATCACAGGATGTTATTCGAATACTAGAAAAAACAACGAAGGATTGTCGGTTTTTAGGTAAGTTCCAGTTTTTGTATTGTTTTTTTTGTACTTTTTCGTATGTGATACTACTTGTGTATATAACAGAAATTTTACTGATACAGTTATCGGTTATTTTTTGAACAAGTAAATATTTTCAATGTTTACATTAAATCATAGTGTTGTTCATAGCATGGTTGTTTGAAAATTTTATCGAGACTATTTTTTTTTGGCTCCACTCGTCAAAGTATCAAGTTCTTTACCACGAAGTAGTATTGATAGGCAGTTAAAATGAAATAATTACATTTAATATTAATTTTTTTTAGATTTCCGAAAAATGCGGCTCTCCGCAAATTGTAGATGGAAAACATAGGCACTGAAAATATAAAACCTGCAAGAGTCCTCATAAAGACACAAGAAAAGTCAAAGTAATACACAACACACACACACACACACACACACGCACACGCACACACACGCACGGACGCACGCACGCACGCACGCGCGCGCATGCACAAGGTGTGCGCGCCTCAGCTTACTTTATATTTTTTTTTAGATATTTACTCTGTTACATTTTTTTTAAAAACATTGTTTACTCATATACTGCTCAATTATTATTTTATATATTCTAACTATAAAATGTAAATCCTTTCTTGGCTGTAAGTTAAGCATATGTGATAATCATGTAAACAACTAAAGGCTGTTGATTTTGTTGCTCAATAAAAAAAAAAAATAAAAAAAAAAAAATAATATGCTCCAAACATTTTGAGGCAATTTGAGTAAATAGAACATTGGTAGCGGTGCGCTTAAAAGATGATGTGGTGCCCACACTCTTTCCTGTAAGTATTTATTCTGTCTTGTTGATGTTCCATATGTTTTATGATAAAGGCCTATTAATAGTTTTGCATATTACGATGTATGTATGAGTATGTATGTATGAGTTGCAAAGCTTATATTATGTAGAATATGTGATTCTGAACAACAAGAGTTGTTTTGGCCTCTATATAAATGCATATTTGATTTATTTGACTGAAAATGTATTTATAGTAAGTACACACTAAAGTACACTATTCTCGCTTACGCAAGTTTCTTTTAGTTCTACATAATGACTATTTTGTTCTTGCAGTTTACTTCTTCTTCAGTAAAACCTACAGCGGTATTGGCAATGAGAACTGACAATACTGGGACTACTAGTACTACAACAACTGCTACTGGGAATATTACTCTGCTAGAGGTATTTATATATTTTGAGTATAAATATCTTTCTAAATTAATTCTATTCTTGCATCAATTGTTGATCTACCTTTACCTAATCTCAACCGGTGCTGGTTTAATTTTTATCCGCCTCTTTTTCATTATTTTTGTCATTTTCCTTGTTTATAACATTTCATGTAGTTTTAGCTTTATTTTAGGATAATTTTATTTTATTACTTAAGCAGTCTGCTTTAGCTGAAGCACAGACTTTTAAAGGATTTTGAATATTTTCTAACATATGAAAATTAGGAACACATGTACTTTGAGCTTATGATTAATAGAAAATCGTAGTTACCCATGCACCATAATAAATTTAATTGCTTAGATATATTTTTTTTTTGGAAGAATTTTATCATTATGAGCAATTTTACCAAGGTAGTACTAACTATGGTAAAATTAATAATCTCTAAATTTCTTAATTCTGTATTTAGTTACAAGCCATACATTCATTCATAATAACATTAATTCTGTTTTAATGTGAAGGTCTGTTATAAAGGTTATATTAAAGGGTATTGTGATGTAATATTACACCACACAAATTTATAATTTACTTTATTTTATTTATTTATTTATGCTTTATTGCAAAACCTTAAAAAAAAGGATTACAAAAGGCGGACTTAATGCCATTTGGGCATTCTCTCCCAGTCAACCCGGGGCGTGGAGAGAGATCGTGGTAGGTGCAAGAAGCTAAAAAAGATCATAAATACTAATTAATAATATCAAAAATGCAAATACTTACTTAATGTAAAAACTTTTAAACTTTGCCTTAATATTTATATCTACTCTATAATAATAAATAAATATGAACATATAAAGCATATATATTTATATACATAAATATATATACATACACATATATATATATACAGCGTATCTTCACAATCGCGACAATAATTGAACACATAATTATATAGAGGATAACTTTTTAAAATTGTATCGTATTGTAAACATCAATATTTACCGAGTTATTAAATTTTACAAAACAAACAATTTTAGAACACCCTTACGTATAAAACTGTAACGTAAAGTTCATTTGTAAAGGTCACAAAGCATATGATGTTGATTGGTAATCTCTTATACATACTCTTTTGATGTCAACTCTGACCTGTTTGGTTTATGTATTATGTTTAAATTACTTTAAATTAAATTTGGAATGATAGGTTTATTTGTTCAGACTGAATTGTGTCATGTTTGATTGATTCCGTAAAAATCACTTGGAGAAGTAACATGTCTAGCTATCTAACATAACTCTTGTATTTTACATAAATTTCATAATCAATACAATACTAAAATAAGTTCAAAATGTTAAAGTTGAAATAAATAGTTTTATTTCAGTCCTTAAGTGTCTTTTTGGTTTGAAAGCGATCCCATTAGCCACATCTACTATTCAAGTTATGAATGGGTTGAATGAATTTAAAAGAGACAAAATGTACTGTTAGAAGGGAGAGGCTTGTAATGGGACACTGTGGTGCGAGTTGTATAGGTGTTACAAATTTTGTTTCTTTGTTACTTAATTAGTTTGAAAAATATTTTTTTTTAATTATGGTTTTGTTTAACGTTAAATTTATTTTTGTAATTATTGGCAAGTAGCGTTAGACGTGTATTCATTTATTGTCGCGATGGTAACGACACGCTGTATATTTTGATGAAATTTAATAGCACCAACCCTATGTATGTTCTACTGCTGAGGACTAATCTCCCCTGTTAATTATCTCTCTAGGTTAGAGATGTATAGAATAAAATGTTTATTGTAATTTCACGTTAATTTTTAGGCTATGTCAGCTAATGCAACCAAAAAAGTCCAAAAGTTATGCAGACAAGTGAAGTTACAGCAAAGGAAAATAAAGATACTAGTCAGAACTGCCACAGACTGAAGCAGAAGGTGTCGACTTTCCAAACGATTATTGACGATTTGAAGAAACATAATTTAGTTAATTTAGTAAATTAATTTAGTCAATTAGTTAATTTAGTTTTATGGAAAAAAACACTCAGAAAACATTTCAAAGCGCAACATTTTAACAAAATTACTATTACTCCGTCATGAATAAACGATTTTAATTCAATATACTAATTGTTTTTTTATTTTATTAACTATTTATGACAATAACCTATTTTATATTACAATGTTGATAGCAAATACCAGTTTCAGTTTTTTTTTAAACATTACCCTTACATTAGGTTAATATTATCCTATGTTGTAAGGACGTTTTACAAAAATTAACGTGGACTAACAGTCAGATGCGAAAAAAAAATATGTGAGTCACACAAATAGTTGTTCCGTGTGGGGATCGAACCCATGACCCCGACGCCAAAGACAATACCTTGGCAACTGCGTGACGGAGTATAATTAATTCTTAATAATTAATACAAAATCGTCTCATTACTGTGTATACATCTATTTCTGTCAGGAGGTCTAAAGCACTAAAGCAAATAGGCACAGTAGGTTCAATGCGCACGCATCACTATAGTAACTTTATTTTTTTAAACTAAGTAATATCCAGCGTAAAGTGGAAGTATGACAAATACTTTCGCGTTTCGTCTGGCTAGTGAGCTAGCCGGAATCCAATTTTCAAAAGGTTGTCAACTCATCTGTAACCCTCGGGTGTAGCAGATGTCCATGGGTGGCGGTATTCGCTTACCATCAGGTGAACCGTCTGCTCGTTTGGCAACTATTAAAAATATGAAGAGTTGCCAAACGAGCAGACGGTTCCCAAAAATCGAAAAAAAAATCCAATGTAGGCTGGTTCGCGTTCCCAGTAATGAATACGCTTGTACAATAGCGGCTACGCAGCTCTCTGGTTACATATTTCAATCGAGCGTTTCGCCCACTACCGTTTGATTGATGTGATCAGATATATGAAATACTCTTTTTTTTTTAATTTTTACCCCCTGCCCTTCAACTAGTGGTGACAAATGAGAATTAATAGAAAGGTGTGCGTGTCATCGATACGACACTTTTGCGTGTCATCGATATCAATATAGATATCAATATATCGATATCAATATGAACTTAATAAAACAACACTATTTGCTGTGGGCGGAGTCGACGCCATTTTAGAGAAACATTTTGCTTCAGCACACGTGACATGTGACATCCTCTTATCTTCTTTTAACAATGAGTGTGAGTGAGAAAGCAGATCAATCAAGAAAATGGCCGTCGTAATTGTTAACAGTGACATCTCTGGTTCGAACGACCAAATAGATGCTGATTATAATACTACTAATTTTAAAAGGGATAACTTTCTACATGATCTAAAATGTCCTGTGATATTTTCAATTTAATAGGATAATGTTCTCACCGAATTTGTTTTTATTAATTGTACGGCATGGTTTCATTCCTCTGTTCTACTCTCCGTGCCGGATTCGAATGAAAAAACATCGATCTCGATATTGAATATTTTGTATCGATATACCGATATATTGGATCCAAATGTATCGCCAAAATAACGAAATTTAAAAAAAAACTATATTTTTTCGACATCCCTAACAAATGTCAAAAATGTGCCGAACACGGGGCTACCAACTTTGGTGTTTTCCCCCCAAATCTAGGCGGTAAAAAAACCGTTGGGATTATTTAGGGCCGTTATTTACGTATTTTTAGAGATTTTTTCACTTCTTATTTGTTTTTCTCCGTTTTATTTCTTGTTATTTTCTTTGATTAAGAAAAATAAAGGTATAAAATAAGGCCTGGAGTAATGCAATCTATACAATCATATTAATTATTGACTTAGCGATATCTAGTACGGTTTTTCATTAATAACATGTGTTTTTTCATTTTCATTAATAACATGTTTTTTATTCGGTTTTTCATTAGTAACATGTGTTTTCATTAATAACAAGTTGAACTATGGAAAGTAGAGATAAAAAGTATCTAGCTAAAACGCATTCAACAGCGGTAGCGTAGTATACATTTTAAGCCAGATTTATACTGGTCAAGTGTTAAGAAAAGATGACAAGTACAGTGAGTAAGTACAGTAGTGTAAACCGTTGGACAGTGGCGAGTTAAATTGCCTTGCAAGCAGCATTGCAACTAGATCCAAATAGAATCGCTTTCAACTTACTAATTATTACAAGTGTAACCCTCGCGCGCCAGTGTGACTCATCACTTTCCGTAGTGTAAACAGTCAAATTAGTACAGTTGCACGCAACAGGCAAAAAAATTGCAAGTATTGCTCGTCGTTTATCATTAATTATAAATCACAATTTCATTAAATATTGGTCATTTAAAGAAATCATAAGAGACAAATTGTAATAAAATTTACTACAATTTTTGTGTAAACACTTTTACAAGACCTACATTTACGCTGTAATATCCTTCACGAATCGAAATGAAGGCAAAAATATTAGTGCTATTTATTTTTTATTATTTAAACAATAAAATAATATATTTTTAAAAATATTAATTGTAATATTTTTTTAATAATTTAATAAAATAATATTTTTAATAATGTTATTTTATTAGACGGTTTTATTTTTTTTATATTTTCGAGGGTTGGTAACACTGGCCAAACAAAACAGCAACGGAGTTTATTAGAGATGGCAAGGAAAAAAATATCTATGTGTATTGTATCGATATTTTGAAAAAGTATCGATAGTTATCGCACATGATTATTTATATTATTAAACAAAAAATTGTAAAAATTGTAACACATAAAATTGTACTGTATAACAACGTATTTTTATTTGTAAAAACGTGTTTCTTCTCTGTAAGAGGAACGTCATTACGAAACGGTGGTAGAAGGAAAAAAAAAAGTGTGCGTGTATTATCGTACACTCGTAAGAAGGGAAACTTTATAAGACGTTATTTTTCAAAAAATAATTTACTAAATGCAACTTTACAGAAATTGGTTAAATAAAGTTAAATTACATAAAGTTTAATAAAAGGCTTTTATTATCATAGACATAAATACAAATTCTACAATTATTTCATTTTAGCTTTGTATAATATTTAGTTTCTTATTTGTAATACATAGGTGGCGTTAGTAGTAAATTAAAACACACTATGGTTTGTTCGTTGTAATTAGTATGAGGGTCCGCAAAAATTGCTGATTGAAAAACTTGCAACTTGTGTCCTTTGTTGTCGAATAGTCAGCCAGTGAGTAAAGGCAGACATTCGCCTCGCGCGCTAGTGTATGTGAGTTAATTTTTTTTGGAAAACCGAACTTGCGGGCCGTTGGATCGACGTCGCAACCGCAAGTTCCAGGAGCCGATCGAGGCTTCGAAGAGCATCATCGGTCAGCTTCAGATTGTGTCTACAAATATAATTATTGAATTTCATTAATTGTAATAGAATTATTACTATCATTGATGTCGTTATTATATATTTGTGTTATTAATGGCTTATGGTAACTGAAATACGAAATATATTGTTTACATTTTAGAATTAGAATTAAAATAAACCCTTTGATTTTGCTGATCACTTTAATATAACATATATGTTACACTAAATTTTTTTCCAACCCCGATAAAGAAGTTTCACTTCAAAAATGACTATCGATAGATGAAATGTATATTTCTTATTTCGATGAATAAATGATTTGATTTGATATCGATATAGATAGTTGTATAGAAAAATATCGATACTTTTTTCCCAAGCCCAATAGCAATACCTAGCGTTTATTATTGTTTTGTTTTGTTATGGTTATGTTCCGTTCTTCTCCTTGAGTAAATAAATAGGTGTGCAAAAATTTTTCAGATTTATAAAAGTACTCTTTGCGTAGATTTTAACGACGACCCGGCTAGTTTCTCTGACTTTGAACGATTCTGCTTACCACTTTCGACACGGCAAAACTTTGGAAACCGATAGATGCGTATAATTATATCGAAAAACCCACTTGCAAGTTGTTTGGACTCTTGTTTTGTGCACAAAGAATCAGATTTTTACCATGTCTGCTAAAAGATGCTGTGTCCCGAACTGCAATAAGTTACGTAAGTATTTTTTACAGTATTAAATGTTGATATTTTGCTTGCAATTTTTTATTGATACAACCTTGTGACCTTGTGTTGGCACAGTTACATTTTTTGTTACAGGTGGAAATGGCAATATTTTGCATTTATTTCGGAATCCCGATAAAAATTTGGACAGATTTTTAGTATGGACAAAAGCAGTAGGTGGTGAAATTTTATCGTTAGATGAACAGACTGTTTTTAGGTGCCGAAGAATTTGTCTTTGCCACTTTGAACCTCAGTATGAAACAAGGAGCAATAGGCTTAGTCCAGCTGCAGTGCCTACCCTATATTTGCAAGGTTATACGTTTTAGTTTTCAAGTAGTAGTTAATACAAAGTAGGACCATGCAACAGTCTTCACCGTTGCAGGAATGAGCAGTTCCGCCCGGGTGAATACCACAACCTCACAGCTGACCGGCGTGAATTAGAGCGTCTGGTGAGTGAGGTAGCCGGGGCAAAAATTTTATTAAAAGGGACCAGACAACCCCCGCTTTAGAGTTAAGTCTTTCGACAGGGTAACCTGTACATGTGGTAACTCATATTGCAGAAGTATATCCACATTAACCCCTTTAATAACTTAAACCTTTAAATAGGTTAGGTTCTCGAAACGTTACATATTACACTGAATTACATGATAAACTTGAGCTGCATGTAATTAGTGGAATACTTGTACCCAAGCGGCTAGTTTTTGTTCATTTATCTACAAAAATTCAAAAAATTATATTTATTAGTAGTTTTATTATTTTAATTTCCTCATCCTAGTCATCTCTAAGTACTAAGTTATTGGCAAAATCACTGATATAGCAGTGGAGCCATAGTAGGAAAAACAAAATTTTTATTATGTTAAGTTATCTCCGAATTTATTCTTATTACTTGATTACTGAGCCGTGATAGCTCAGTGTCCGGGCGCTCGCATTTAATTCAATATACTCGAGCAACCTGAGTTCGATCCCCGGTGCCGGCACCAATGAAGTTTTAAACTTTAAGTGCTGACTTATCACGTGCTCCGCGGTGAAGGAAAACATCGTGAGGAAACCTGGCATATTTTCGAAAATAATAACAAAAAAAACAATTTTTCGAAGATATGTGAAGTCCGCCAATCTGCAGTGGGGCCACGTGGTGGACTATGCCCTGATATCCTCTGTATAGAGAAGGCCTTTGCCCAGCAGTGGGACATGTATAGGCTGTTACTTACTTTACTTTTACTTGATTACTAATATGAGGTGATTGTGATGTTGATTGTGTTACAGGTGATGCTAGCGATACTGCTGTTGATTTTCCATTACAAGAATACAGTCACCCGCTTTGTACAGAGAATCAAGATGAATTCCCGAGTTCGGTTATTAGCACAGGCGACAATGATTGTAAGTAATTGTTAAGAATGAATGGGATAAAAATGAGTAGATTAGTTTGATGCAAATTCTATGGCGGTTATGAAATGTGTCATATGCGGTGCAGATCCAAAGTTTACCTTAATACCTACTGTTGACGCTAAAATAATTTTTTTTTATCGTGTAGTTAACTATCATATTGGTGTGTACTTGAGTGAGTCAGTCGCGCAATAAACTAGCAAGCTGCAACACGTCTTTTTTATTCAAATAATCCCGTGCACTACATACAGTCCATTTTCAACTCTAATACACCAACATATGGTCGAAATCGTTCGC